TTTTATTTTTCGTATATAATAATAATAATAATAACAAATAAAATAATAATAATAATAATAATAATAATAATAATAATAATAATAATAATAATAATAATAATAAGAGCAATAATAAACTGGTGCAGACGATAATCGTATGAATAGCCATTATAATATATTAGTACACGTTAACACTAGGTACGCTTGGTTACACGGCTTAGGTACGGAGGCTTCGTGTGCTTTTCTCTCAAATGATGAAAGAAAGAGAAACAGAAAAGGATAAACATGGAATATACGAGCGCGGAGGCGTTTTATGAAATTGAACGGATCGATTGATCGCCTGAACATCGATCCTTTTACCCCGAAGATTCCGTCCTCGATCTTTTCGTAAATTACTCGCCGAGCCAGATCGGCCAGCGTAATAATTAACGTCGCATATATATATATGTATATGTATATATATATATATATATATATATATATATATATATATATGTCACAAAACAGTAAAATCTCACCGCGTCCAAAACCAAGCCAGCGCTCATAATTATAGAAAATCGTTAAGCCGCCATTATTTATTGACCAAGTCGTTAATGGATCAATAGCATTTCATTTTTCTTATTTTACCACGCTGATGGTGATACGTAAACTGCCGGCATTAAAACATGCGCGTGTCGCTTGCACATGTATTACCGGAAATGGGAGCGGTAGCCATAATGCAGTACAAACATTTGTGATGTTTTCATACTGTCCCTCATATTTGTCAGGAACTATCGTTAAGCGGCAATGTCTAACTCATTTACCGCGCATTAACCCTCACGAGGTTTCCCCGTAATGATCCACTAAGAGGATTCTGTTACTCTCGAAATATTGATTTCGGCATCTCGTTCTTTTAAAGATGAGATGTGTACGTTGTGAAAGCAGCATTATAATACTTAATTTCAAAGGAATCGGAAATACGAACATTGTTATACACCGCGGTTTGAATTTTGCGAAAATTTTAGATACCAAATTTCATTGAGGATATTCTATTTAAAGAATAGAATATCCTCAATGAAATTTGGTATCTAAAATTTTAGAATAGAATATAAAAATACGATTACCATATTATTTTTAACAACGAGAAATGCACATGACATTACCGTCAATAAACTAATTTTGCTCGGTCGTTGTACGCGGTAATTCATTCATATTCAAAGGTTTGACTAAATTTTTTTTTCACTTAAACAAAAGAAGAGGCCAGAACTGAGCCATTTTAATTTCCTTTTGGTCTGCAGATTTGTTACGGATTCCCTTTTGTTCGTTAGCTGCTTCTGTAATATTTCAGCGCACATTATTCTATATCTCCATTTCTATGTAAAACGCATCGGTTCATAATCATAGAAATAATTATTAGATATTACAAAGTGAATCGCTGCGCTATGTTATTTATAACAAAATTTGCATAGATTAACGTATTATTGAATAAATTATATTTCCGCCTCACTTGCGAGTCGCCAAATTCAGACTAGCGCGCGTTATCTTCACAGATTATGCATTCTCCTATGATATTGGATGAGGCCAAGAGCCGACGCTTAAATTGGGTCGACACGATCCGGGGATTTCAATATTCACACTGCGGTTAAAGATCGGGACTAATCCAAATGCGATCAGATGCATTACGGCGGAGAAATCGCCGTGCAGGCTAGGAACGTAAATGTTTGTCTGCACCGCACGTATACCGGGTTGCACGCGCCTTAAGCGTCGAAAAGGGTGAATGTCTGAGAGCGTAGTAACTAATACATAATCCCGTTGGCGTTGCCCGATCACACGAAGGGAATAAACGCGTAACCGATTAAGTCCCGATTAAATTGCTCACGATAAAATTGAACGCGCCCAATTGAATGAGGACCAGCAGTTACATGATTGACGCGAATTACGTCGTTCGAGTGTCATCAAAATACGCGCAATTATCGTCGTAATGACGGCGTAGCGCTGATAACTCTTCTCGGGTGATTCCGCCATCAGGTCGCCCAGTTCTGAAGTTCACCCTTGTTGGCGCGGCTGGCAGTTCACAACTTCGCGTTTCCAAATTGCAAACCATCGTAAATAAGCACGCTTATCTCGTCAAGTGTCGTCGCCAAACTCAGTACGCTTCGCATTTCTGTGCGAATTATGGCATCGTCAAACCGAGTTTGTCCGCTTGTTAAGACGGGCATAACGGCTCGGGTGGCGCCGTATCGCGAATACCAAGCCCGAGTACTAAGGATAATGGGTTCGCGGGAACTTTGTGTGTCGCTAAATAGAGTAGATTAAGATATTGACGAACGTTACAAACGACATATTTAAATCGTTTCTCGTTGCACGTTATCCGCGCGCTCTTTACATTTATACCGCGTCGCTTCGCCTTCCGCGAAGCGTCAAGACGCGTTAGCAGGAAACACGAGTGAAATTTCCTCTCGCAAAACGCGAGCAAATACGTTTCTTCGCCGTCATACAGACGAGATATTAAGTTGTTGAGACGAAAGTTGAGGGCTTTATAGAACCTGTAAGACTCATCAATTTCCCGGTATTTCCGATCGGTCAATCCTGCAGAGACAGCAACATCATTGCGCTGCAATCCCATTGACGGTGAAGAATGAAAACTCCGTTTAACAATATCGCTTATTCAGGCGCGTTGGCACCGGTGCAGACTTTCTTCGCCCGTGGGCGAGATGATCGATTGCATTCGCGCGCACAGGTCCCGCAGTCAAAACTGCACCCGCGCTCCGACGATCAATATACCGTGGCCCCGTGTGTCTCGCGTTCCGCATGACTTCCCGTGTACTTGAAAACAACACCGCGTGTTAAAGTTTGCGATGCAGCGAGCGATGAGCGGCGCGATGCCACCTCCGCTCGCGCTTTTGATTACGTCATAAAGCGAAATAATAGTCTGGCCGGTATCAAGGTTACCAGTTTCAGCGACACACATCAAGAGCATACTTGGCGAAATCGGCACACGGTACACGTTTGCCTCTCTTTTGCATCCATTGCATCGGTACTCCATTCATTTCGTCGCGCCGCGCGTCACCCCGGCCCGGCCGTACTTCGTATACTCGAACAAAAGTTCTCGCTTATTCGTTCGCCGAAACAAACGCGTAATTTCGTTAGAGAACTCACTGCGACGGCGGTCCCGCCTCGTTATACGAAAACTTTCCGCGGTCCTGAAAAGGATATGAAAAAGGATATAGGCGGCGCGGAACAGCGCCGAGCAACAGCTGCAACGACGCGGCCCGCTCGCCGCAATAATTTCCATTTCGCGCGATTATTCGCGAATTGTTCACGGTACACCGCGACCGCGCGCGCACGATAACGACAAAAGAGTTTCTTGCCAGTGGCGGCTGCGGCCCTATTTGTTACCATTTGCCTCGTAACGCTCTGACAAGGCATAAATTTTCCTTTCATCCGATACGTCAGTTAGCGGATCGCTGGGCGCGCACGGTAACGCGTGCGAGGCCGTGCGTGCGTGACTAACCACGCCACCAGATATATCTCGGTTTCCGCGAGGAAAGATACGAGCATGTGGTATGTATGTGAGAGAGAGAGAGAGAGAGAGAGAGAAGGAGGGAAAGAACGAGCGAAAGAGAGACAGAGAGGCAGCAGGTTACAACAAATTGCCAATCTCAACCACGGTAACCAACTGCTAAGAGTTTACTCGAGTCGCATCAACATTCCTTCCCGCAACAATTTCGCTATTTCAACTACCGACTCGATGTTTCTTTTTCAGCGCACTCGCACTTGCTGCGAAAACGTAGCGGCAGCAGACGCATAACTGCGTAATATAAAATGGAACAATCGTGATGATCAAAAATCTGTCATGGATGGCAACTCATCATATATCGACAGCCATTGATATCAAGCTAAAAACTTTAATTGCTGACTAATTGGGATGTTTTATAATTCAGCAGAGGCTTTATCGATTGGTTTTTCGGTGTCTCTCTTCGAGAGCAACGAAGCGTTTTACTACCAAATTTCAGTTGAGATTTTATTTGAATATAGGTTTTGCTTTTTTTATAATATTGCACATTTAGCTCGTTACATTATAATATATGAATAATTATATATTGTTATTTGCCAGGTGCGAAGTTCGATATAACATATACATTCCGTAACATAATGCATTTTTTCTTAACCGAGAACGTTTTTATACAAGTTCCTCCAAAAATCAGCTCTATCTCTCAAGAAGCCTTTCTCCATTTGTAACTCTTGATTAATATTCATATAATTATCTTCCTCACCTCTGGGTTCCCAATTCACGTTTACATACTCATTCATGTGTGACGTAGGATTGCTGAAAATATCACCTTTAATTTTTGTTTCATATTTACCGTTATGTTGATTTAATTATAGAATTATTAGAAATTGTTCAGGCATACCCATCTTTTGCAAAATTCGCCAATAACGTCGTATAAATGCGCACCATCTTTTCCGCAGGAGAATCTGGTTGCGGCACATTTTTCAATGCATCCGAATAGAATTCATAAGTCAAATCGTCACCATGGGCAACACCTAGTTAGAAATTATGAACGAATAAGTCAATGAAGATATAACATCGTGTTCTCTTTTTCCATAATAAGTTAAAAGCGAATATGAATTTCCTATGGGAATTTACTACTCGTAACTCACCTTCTTCCACTTGTACCAAAGATTTTATCATACCGAACGGGGCTTCGTAAGAGAATATATACTGGTAAATTGGAGACGAAATTCTGGAGCTTAATACCTCTAAACTGAGTGCGATCCCAGCGTCAAACATGACGTCGTCCAACATCTAAAATGCACAAACAGCTTTAATATGCACATCGTTAAATTTATGCGCCGCTTACACAAAGTTTCACGATAGCGAGACGATATTAACGTTAAGTACTCACCATCATGAACTCTTTCGTGGTTTCCGTGGAGATCAACTTATCCCCAAAGTAGTAACTCTTCAGGCTTTCACCTAATTCGTTCTTATGCCCGGCATCGGTTATGTTTAAATCGTTCGGCAGAAAGTTCTCAAAGTGCTCATTTATTTGATCAATATTGCCGAGCATCACTGAAAACAAATGTTTTAATATCGTTTACATGGCACCGGACATATAACTTCCATGTAATATTGTATCAATAAGTTACTTTGCACATAGAAGGAGGACTCGTTAGCTGTATATCCAGCCATAACAGGCACATCGGCAATTTTTCCGGATTTTAAAAGCGTCCAAGGATCAGCAGGCAAAAAGATCTCTTGTCCTATATCAGCTTCGACCGATGGAATAAATGCTTCAGCTCGGCCGTTCATAGCACTCTGCAGTGAGGCAATGAAAATGATTATCGGTTCAATATTATCTGCATAAATACGTATATAAATTTCAGCCAACCTTAAACCTTAGTACTTTTTCTCTTTTGTAAAAAAAAATACATTCAATTAATATAATACCTGTTTAAGGAACGGCAAATCGTCGCTAGCCGCGATTAATTCTTTCGGAGTAAATTCCGCGAGCCTGGCAACCAATTCAGCAGAATCACTAGTTTCAATATCGAGTTTCTCGCCCAATTTGAAGGCTACCTCTCTAGCATCATAAGCTATCGCCCATGTATTCACCGCGCTTCCGCTCTGCGCGATGACTTTATTAAATAAACCTGTGGCGCGATAAACCATGTCGTACAGATTTTATATGAAAGTGGCAAAAGCTCTTATTTATTTTTTATCGAATAATCAAATAATCATGTATCTCACCATTCGACATGGGTGACATCATGTGAAACTGGACGGAACTTCCGCCTGCATCTTCGCCAAAGATCGTAATTCGGTTGGGACAGCCGCCGAAATAATGTATGTTGTCCTTGACCCACTTTAGCGCCATTACCTGATCCTTTAGACCAGCGTTGCCAGGCGCACTCTTGTCACCAGTATTTAAAAATCCTACAATAATGATGATCCTCCGATAATAATTTAGTGATTAACGTTAAATTTTAGCCTAGGAATCAATTGAATGGAGTGTCTTATAATAATAAAGATGCGATAATCGAAGAAATATTACTTACCAATTACTCCTAATCTATAATTAAGCGTCACGAGAATAACATCTTGCTCAATTAAAAAGTCAGGACCAAAGAATACGTCGTCTCCGAGACCATGATTGAAATTACCACCATGGAACCATACCATAACAGCTTTACAAGCTTCTTTGTTCAATTCCGGAGTGTATACGTTAAGATAAAGACAATCTTCTTCGCCAACGATGTCTTGTTGTATCATACAGAAGAAAGGACAAGCCGAGCGATGATAGGTTGCGTCGTACGTGCCTTCCCAAGATTCGGCTGGTTCTGACATCTTAAAAATAAAAGGGCTCATAATATTAATTTATTGCTCTCCTAGTTCTTCAATTACAAAATTTACATTTTAAATATAAAATAATTTACAAAAATAGATATATATATATATATATATATATATATGTGTGTGTGTGTGTGTGTGTGTGTGTGTGTGTGTGTGTGTGTATAATGCATGTCTATATTTACATCATCAACTTACCTCGAATTTATTAAGACCAACATTAGGTTTTGCATAGGGTATTCCTTTAAAACTATAGTACGCCTTATTCTGCATTACAGTACTAGTCTTTAAACCCTTTAGAAACCCTTGAGGAATTTCCAATTGAACATCCTGTTCGGCCTTGGTCCACACGACCACAAACACACAAAACACAAACTTGCTAGACCACATTTTAACTCTGTGAAAAGTTTACGTCGTTGTACCACCTTTTATAGCTTCCGAAAACATGTTGACGATCAAAAGAGTAGATTATAACGGACTATTTACGCAATTACTACTCAGGGAATATAATAGCGCGAACAGGTTACCCGTAGAGCAATTTACGAGATGCCTCCATAATCTCGCGTGTCAACTATAACCGCGCAACATTGGATTTTCAGATAGAATTGTTAGGTCGGATTTCCTCAGTTTATCTTTAGCCTCGATACATAATCTTCATTAGAGGTTCATAATGTGCTTCCTGAAATTTATTGTAATCCACAATAAGGTATGTACACAAACTGCGTAGCTTTTCAAGAACCATGGACAAAAGAGATAAATTGCTCTTTATTATCATCTTCTGCAATATGCATAAATATGATATAGAATTAATAAGTATTTTATCCATCATCTTATCGATATATTCTTATATCAGTGATAAACATAATTTTAAAGTAGCTGCCTATTGCAGCTGTTCAATCTTTGTTAAACGATATAACATGAGCACGCTAAGCTTTAAGACTTAAGAAAAATATTTACTGATAAGTATTGTTAACCATACTCTGTGAATCGTAAACTAGTAAAATTGAAATTTTCTGATGTTTCTGATGTATCTCTTAAATGTAAAGGCAAAATTCAATCTGAAATCTCTGTTTAAAAGTTATTTAGAAGATATTTAACATCAACAAAAAATATTGTTAGAAGATATAATTTTACAATAATGAATAATAATTTTATGTAGTTAGTTTTAGACATAGTTAATTGTTTCAACTTTCTATTACGTTACATAATAATATTATGCTTGACTATATCAGAGATGCTGGTAAATTCGCAACGCTATTGCTTTGGCAAAAAATTTCAAGTAGAATTTTGAAGCGAAGCGCATAAAGTGCACTCGGAATGAATAAATTTCTATAATTTACTTTTACATTCGCGCAAATAGAAAAGCAGATGTAAAGAGAAGAAATGAGGCGAGCACAGCTGCACAAACTAAGTAGAATGAATTTGAATGGTATGCCATAATGATTAAGGCCATGTACTTGATGTGAACTTTACGGATTAAGCGGTAATTAAGGTCGAGTTAAAAGAAAATTACTTTGAATTTCTTCAATATTTACAAAATTGCATTAAGAAAAGTGTGTGTATTATGATATAATTAAAATTCGCTGCGACAAATATTTCATAATCACATTGAAGAGTATCGCTTTATTAGATTAATTTTAAAATAAAAAAGGCATTTTCTTACATTTAAAAAAATTTAATAACATCAACATTTATTAGTAGCATTATTTTAATATTTAATCATGTTTAGCAAAATTTAGCTTACGATGAAACATTTGAGAACGCCATCGACGTACACAATGCAATTGAAAAAATATGAAACCGAAGTAAATCTTGTGCACGTGATTTTTCGCTTTAACGAACGATCCGACGGCTTCTGACAATCTGTTCGCCGTGCTTGGGAGAAAGAAGATACGTTCCGTGAGCAATTGCAGCCGTCCACCCAACGTTCCCCCGAGTGAGTTTCAGTCTGTTTCGAGCGTGCCATCGAATTTTTCAAACTTCAACGTGATTTTCCATGAGGAGTTTCCTCGCCGGCGGCGACGATTCTCTTGAAAACGACGTTACTCTCGTCATAAATGCGGCACTCAGACCAAACTTATGCAAAGCAGTCGATAGGTACACACTCGATTCACGTCGCAACAGTCCGCCGTTTCCCTTTGGCGATTTCGGCAGTGTACTTCTTCCGTTAAATAAAGTACTTTAGAAGATCACGTTTATATATTGGCCGATCCGAGAAAAGAGGGTATAGAAATAAATTAGTTTGCATATTCAAACGAAGTGGATCTATGCAGTAAAGAAGGACAAGCCGGTCGATAAGCAGTTTTATACAATGGCAAGGAACACGCTTCCAACTTTTTTCCTAAATAGAATATCCGCTTACACCAAGCTGCTTTCAACGGTTGCCGCTAGGGAAAAGACAAAAGGATAGACATGGGACACTTGTGCGAAATATGACCACTTTGTCCACGTCCCGGCATCGACGGCTCTCACTTCTACGCGTTTTCTACCCGAGAAACTTACGGTCCAGTTTCACGTTTCAAAGCAACTTTCAAGTCGAATTTTAATCAACATGCTAATTTTCAAGAAACGAGCGACGTGTGAAAGCAGCAATTTGAGGCGAACGTTAACATCAGCATCCGCCTCAAGTCGCCCAATTTAAAGTCTGCAAATGTAACAAGAACTTAAGGCATACCTCCGCTTTATTTTTTTTTTTTACGTATATAACAGGATGAAAAGTTATATAACAACGGCAAATCTTTTTCTTACTGTTGGCGCCACTTCAAAAAGTGCATTACTCGTTTCTTAATGAAATCCCGCGAGTATACATAAAAAAGGATTTTATCGCGATGTTTTTGTAACTTTGTTTAACATTTCACGCGCAAGTAATTGAGCAAGCAACTTGTGGGGAAACATAATAAAAATTTTTCACCGCAGTATGCAAAATGCAAAAGGCCGAGTGCTCAATCGTGCATACGCGGTCGCGCAGTTTGCGAAACGTATCGCGGCAGTAATAAAAGAGACCCGCACGAATTTATAAACGGGCGGGAGCCAGTCGTGAGCCGTTTAGCTGGTCGTTGTTTGCTCGAATTACGGGCCATTGACCGGAAGAATTTCGGATAATATGAAAACAACGCGACAATCGGGCGACCAGGCGGCAAACACCGTTGCACGAACGAAATGAAACGCGGATGAAAATTTTTTTTGCGCCGTTGCCCGCACCCTCTGTCACAGGGCGCGCCATCGTCATCGCCGATCCTCCCCGATGCGACGGCTCCGGTGAGCTCGAACATACACGGCAGACGGAGCACGCGCGAATTTGACACTTTTCCGTCGTAACGAAAAGCGTGCCGAGAGCATATTTCCACGTTTTTTCCTCCTACGGCTCCCGAATCAACGGCTCCCTGCCGTCACTCAGACGCGCCGCCATTCCTCTCTGCTTTTCACTTCGTTTTAACAATTCGTTCTTTCGCAGCTCTTTCGTCGCACTTGTCGTCTAGCGCTCTATCTCTTCCGCGTCCGCTTTTCTATCCGTTTCCGTCTGTTTCACTCCACCTACTCAACAAATTTTAACTTCTCTTTCTCTCAATGTCCATTTGTCCCTTCTGGTCACCTCCGTCCCTTGCTCTTTCGCACTGTCATCCCCGCGTTTCGTGCATTTCGTTCACTCGCAAACAATGCTGCGGCCGACCTCGTGCCTACGCGCTGTTTTCACTGAATAAATTTAATTTAAATTTTCCTGCCGTTTGGAACGTTTATTAAGTAAATATATCACATGAAGGGGGAGGAGGGGGGAGCGAGGCAGAACATTGTGCACACTGATATTTTCCGCGGGACTTGCATCACCAAAGCCGCGAGCACGTATTGCATCCCGCCATTGGATTGCCGCATTGGATGCGTGCATGTGTTCATGATGCACGCACGGAATAGCTGGCGAAACGCGATTCTCCATGTTTACGGGATTAATTTATTAAGTTTCGCGCGTGAACCCTTTTACCTACCGTTTCACCGCCCCTAGTCGAGACTATTCGTATGGTATGCGAATTGGAAAATGTAGTTTCGTGGGAATTATATTAAAGCATAAACTGTTCCCAACAAAATGCAACGCGATATACGGCATATAAATTTTAAGGTCAGAAATCGCGGACAAGCTGAAATTAAACTGCTCTCGTATATCAATACGCGTGTCATGTTGTTCGTAATAATATATACAGAATAATTATTGAAAAGAGAAATCTTGTTGGGGCAGAGAGTAGCCTTGCTCATGCAAGATGTCGAGTTGTATGGACAAGCGTGTTATAAAAGCGAATTTCCATCGCATAAAATACATGTAAATACATGTCAGGTTATGCAATATAATACTGCTATTAAATCGTTGGATTGAACAGCTTCTGGTATCGGTGTAAAGAACGAGGCAGGTAGGAAATAAAGCGGAATGATAATGGAAAGAAGACTACGGTATCATATTCGCGGCCATTAGGAAGCAATTACTCGAGCACAAGTTATCTTTTATCCACCCTGATTCACATACTGCTTGCAAAGAAAGGATTATACGTAATATGTTTCCTTGATCGCAGCAAGAATGAATTCAACATCACGCGTAATCATCTCCTCAAAAATACTAAATTTATATTTGTCTTTACATTCTGCATATATATATATATATATATATATATATTTAGAACTTAAAATAAATTTTTTATCTTATATCAAAATTATTGAACGAATACACTTTTTACTCGTACTCGTAATAAGATAAAACATAGAAGATATATAAATTTATATTAATTAAAATGCAATTATGTATCTCAGGTAGATATTTATTTTTCTTTAAAAATCGTTTTTCAGCTATGGCAAAATGTTTATATTTATTTGTGCGTTTTTTTGCGTCATACATCCTGTCATCATTCGGATATGTTTTGTTAATCTTCTACAAAAATTTTAACATCAGCGTTAAGAGTGACACATCGTATATCATATTGCTTTAACTAAAATGGACTAATCACTTTTTTGCAATAACACCAGTTCTACAATAAAATAAATTTATTGACATGTGTAATTTTACTTAATTATCTCTTAAAAAAGATATTAAACTTAATTAAACTAAACTTATTAAACTAAAGATGTTGAAAAAAGAGAAAAAGAAATACGTAGATATTATCGGACAAAGGACATTGTCGCAATAAAAGGAATTGCCTCGTCACCCATGGCGCCGAGTAGACAATGAAGGTGAAATAGAAACACAGTCTGCTTGTATCGTCAGCTGAAACTAAACCATCGCGCAGCAAATCTTTAACCGCGATGAGAGTAAAACATTCCCAGCGGTACGGCCAAGTCTTTTGATTTGAATAGTAAGAGCGATTTTCCGTGCGAGAGGCTTGAAATGTAAAAGCCAACCGGCTGCCGGTGTGACGCAAAAGAAAGTGGCGAATAAAGAATCTAGAGAGAAAGGGAAGAAACGAAAAGGCACCAGAAGGGTGTTAGATATCGCTACTTCGAATAGTGAGAAGAAGACGAGAGAGAGAGAGAGAGAGAAGAGAGAGAGAGAGAGAGAGAGATTTCGCAGCTATCACATCGAAATATTACAACACATTAATATGATGGAGGATCATTCATCTTCATCATCCATAGCTATTACATTAGACTTTAAGATACTCTCCTACCTATCTAAAAATTCTACTTTCCGTAGAATTTCGTTTCATCGTTTGATCAAATTAGTGTCAAGAGTTTTCGAATTATGGGCGACTGAAAGATTTTTCATAATTTCAGGGAGATAGCGAAATCTTACTCTTTGTTTAATTTCAAGTGATCGTTATTTGAAAAGAATTTTAATTTGAAACTTCGTTACATAAACATCTAATGTTGAAAATTTAAAAATTACGTGAAAGCTAAGCCGATTTCATTTTGATAAAGAAAGTAGTAAATGAATTATGAACCAATATAATTTTATATCTGTGCAAAGTATAGAATCTAATTTGAAAAGCGTCTGATAAATATTGCTGAAATTTATCAGGAACTTGTGAATATAAAATCCGTATTTGCGTAGAAAAGATTTAGCTCTTGAAAGAAACAAGTTTCCTGATATCAAAGCGATATAGACACGCTGGCGATAGACAATTTATAGTGCATAATTTTTTTTTTAATGCATTTTTTTTAGATTTATAGATTTCATAATAGAATGCCTGTACCATAGAATTCTGTCAGCACAGCTGAAATTTCAGCGATAGCGTAACAATGTAATAAGTAGAAGCACGGGTCCCGGTAGTCGCGCGATTTCTCACGACACCCGATCTACCCCGACCGGTACTTTCGCATTCCGGAAGTAAGTACTTTTCATTACTTCCTGCTGTTCGTAAGCATACGATGGACCGAAGGAAAGTCATTGAACGCGGGATAAATGCTACCGTCGATTAGCTCACCATCTATTCTAGCCATCCGTAATAAAATTGGTGGTTCTCCCTCCGCTCTCTCCTTAAAGGCCTTCGACAAAGTAAATATCATAAATTTCCGCCAAAACTACATCATTCGAAATATATCGAATCGAATTTTAATATGAGCAGTAAAATTGAGACTCGTTTGGGATTCAACATCTATAAAACACAAACTTGGACAAACTTCCAAGAAATTTAATTTGATATATTATCTCTCTCTATGAATCTTTCGGACAAAAAATTGTATATTATTAATAATAATTGAGCAGTTATGATAATGTACGTATTAGACAGAAAGAAATAAAGTCTTTTCACTTTAATGAACATTTCGTAGATATTTAAAAATAGTTACTTAAAAGTCTAAAATCTTAAACATATAAGTTGTACATTTGAAGGTTGCGGTCGATTGGTTAAATCTTATGTGACATATAGCATAACAGATAACAGATAAGGATTTGATAAAATTTTTTCAATGACCATTTCGATATCATAGTTATTTTTTATTACTTGATCGGAACGCTGCTCAATCTTATCGTTCATATAATCCACAAAAAGTATAAATGAACGTAATACATGCAGTGTATGAGTGACTTGATTTTATTCTTCTTTTTAGATTTTCTTCTAGATAAAATCGCATTATTTCTTTGATGTAAAAGGAGAAATTACGTTTCGCAATCACAGGAGATGCTCTCCTTTGGTCTCTCTTTCTCTCTCTCTCTCTCTCTCTCTCATGCTCTTTCATTTCTCGGTCATGTAAAACACGATGAAACCAGTTGCCCTTTACTTAGCTTTATCTTCAGCTTTCCGAGTGTAATCGAGTGCAAGTTGGCATTTATGACCCGCAATTATCGTCCGTGTTAATTAATCCCAAGAAGAGGACCGCAAAGAAAGAGGATCACACCGGTACATTCATTTTGCTCGTCCACGAAACGCAAGACAATAAAGCAAATTAGGCGTTACTATGCAGACAATGGCCCAAATACGTTTTCTTGAGGCGAAAGTGATGCTCTTTTGTCACATAAACTAGATTTACGTTCATAACATTTTCAAAATAATTTGTGCTTTTTAAGATAATTATGCTTGTTATTTTCTCATAGTCGTCTTTATATATGATTATCAAATACATCTTTGTTAACTCTAGTCTTATTTTTCGCATAACATTTAACTTTATTAAATTCAGTAACAATTGAATTAAGCAACACATTGCGTTCTTTTATCAATGTAAATTGAGTCTTCATTTGTATAATTTGGGATCATTTAATATTTATCATTTCTCTTGTAAATAGTTGTTATTGGATTGACTCTTCTCTATGAAATATATTCTTTATCAAAAATTAAATAGCAATAAGATAAATGAAATGTCACACTGATAATGAGCGATAGCTCAAACTCGTTCCTGCAAGGTCAGATAAAAAGCAATGTTGTATTATTCACGTGATTTGTACTTTTATAATTTGGTATAAGTTAGTCATTCCAAACAGTCATTCTTTTATCTTTTCTTACAATTATTATCATTTTTTTCTGTTATGTATCAGTTTATGCTCTACAATTTTGAGCAAATTACAAAATTTGATTCGAAAATACTAAGCAACAGCAAAATTAATTAGATGTATACTGAGAACGCGAACAATAGCCTAAATTCATATTCTATTGTTCGGCTGGTTTCTAGGTGAAAGCATTTCTTTTCTATGAACTAATTATATTCTAAACGTTTAGATCAAGAAGATAACGTGTTTCTTTTGCTGTGTAAATCATTATATACACAAAAACTCCGAATTCTTTTCGGAATAAATACCTTTGCAAAATAATTATAACAATGTTAATTTTACAATGTTGCAAAATTAATACTAGTACTGAATACATTTTCATTTACTGTTGACATTTTATTTTATAATAATTATTAGGATTTTACAATTAAAACTTACATAATTTAAATATTTTATGATTTTTTATTTTTTCTGAAATGACCATAAAATGTAACAGAGATTAATAAATATGACAAATTTAAAAAAATAAATAAATTTTGTTTAGAAACAAAATTAAAAATCGAATATATATGTAGTCTCTAAAAATATATTCTATTTGTCCATTCATGTGAAGATCAGAAGAAAATAAATGTAATGAATTTTTAAAAAATTTTAAAAGTCGTAAATTGATCACCATTAAGAATAATGCAAAGGTGCGCAAATAGTATACTTGAATACGATGTAATTTCGTAATTACTTAATGACTGCATGAATAATTGTCGATCAGAATTTATAAGTGAAGCAGCACAATGGATCTCTCTGTAACGTTGTGTGAATCTCGATTCACGTGGCTATGACCTACGAAACTGTCGTTATTGTCATATGAAGGTCGAATATATTACCTCGACAGATTATTATTAAACCAAACCTTATTAAAACAATGAGAACATATGTTTTCTCTTTCTTTTACTGTGTGAGACTACATTGCTTTCGTTATTCTCGAAGATTTCTTCGTTCGCGAGCTATTCTCTTCAATTCGTGATGCTTTCAATTCTTTAAAACTGAATCTCAATAAGAATACGGATTTACGGAGAAAGTAAATTTTTTTTAAGAGGAGAAAAAAGTTGAGAACATACCTTAAAATAGATTTATAAAATTTGTTTAAATAATATTTTGAACCATGAGTCATCAGAATTTTTTTTTTTTCGAAACTGGAGTGCTTTTTTGTGAAGAAATTTTCTTTGCAGACCGCCAATGATTTTTTTTTTTTTCGTAATGGAAGGATCGATGAAAACGTATCTATCCGCAAATATCCTATTTCCGTGTATATCCAAAGTTTCTGGTGCGAGTCTGTCGGTGTTAATCCGATGCAATGAAACTTTCCTTCCGGGATCGCCCCGTGGTTGTACTCGCGCGTATATTCAACATCGCACTCTCGTTTCTCCGTGATGCGGTTGTTCTCAGTTTCATGCATGCGTGAACTCATCGCGACGGCTAGTTTTCGATTCTTTATTTTCACATTTTGCCGGGGGTGTGGCGAAAAATTATATAACTCCGGGATTTCTTCACCGCATCGCCGGGCAAAGTATCTCTTTTTCATCCACGCGCTTATAATAGACGCAAACTCTCATTTTCGCCAATCCGTCGTCGGATAGCGGACAGCGATTAAGAAAGAATAATAAATGCTATTCTATTAATTTTAATAACACGTAACAATAAAATATGTAGATATTATTATCCCAAATTTAATTTCTCAAGATTCGAAAGAATCTGCGATGAATTTAAGTAAGGTAAATAAAAGTGAATGTGAAAATCTGTCAAGGCTTCAAATACATCTGACTTATTTACGGTATTGAGCGCTAATATATAGCTATATTTCGTTTTCTCATTTATGAAACAACGATATTTTCTGTTTCAGCGATGTGACGCAACCAGTCGGGAATATTTTTCTGCAAAATGACTCGCGCCCTTGTCCTTCTCTGCATGGCCATCATTCTACCTCTCGTACGATGCCACAAGGTAAGATCTCAGTCAAGTATCGTCAAGACGCCCAAGGACATGTTATTATCCCGTGCAATTACCTCTTTAAGACAAAGAATGCGCGTGTCCGCGCGCGTGCTAGAAGATAATTCCGCTGAATTAAAAGCGAACGGCCACAGAATACGATGATGACTCTAATTCACGTTAATCATGTCGCCACGAGGTAAATTCACGGTACGCGAGCAGCGCCTTTTGATTTACACGCGTGTTTCTATTTACTCAGGTAATATAACGCGCCTCTCTTCTTTTTCTCATTTGTCACACATGAATTTTGCAGACTATACTTTCAATGTGCGCCTATGTGTGTATGTGCGTGCGTGCCTATGTGTATATGTGCGCTTCATTTTCAAGGAGCTTCTCGCGCAGATTTTAATTCGCATCCCGCTCTAACGTTTGAATTTATTATTTAGCGCGATTACGGCACGATAGAAATTAATTAACCAGAGGCTCGCTAATGGGAGAGGAGGAATTAATGACGCCTCATAATTCCGCGCATTGTTCGTAATTAACGTTTGGGTTGCGCCGGCTATTTACGAGAGAATTATTCCGACGATCATCGATTATCGCGCTTGGAACTTGTAAACGACACGAAATCTCTTACTGTTCTTTCTAATTTATCTCTAATCATTGCATACAGCAAAAATTAGAAATCATGTTCGCGAACCGTCGTATTTCGCTCCTTCTTTGTTAGTAATGGATTTGAGATAGAGAGATATATAAATGCGAAATATTTCTTAAATTCGAAGATTGCGACGCATGTTCGCGGCCAATTTATTTTTTAGATAAATTTATGTCATTATTTATTAAACGCTTGCCGTCGTATTTCTAGTATCTAAGATACAAGCGTGAGATATGATTTTATGAAATGGGCTTGTTTACAGAAGATTAATAGCACCGACGCTTACCATCAATGGTATCCACCTCGTAATTAAGAAAATACGTGAAAAAAAAGAAACGATTGCGATTAATGGCACGTTACGATTCAACACGCGTCGGTTGAGCGGATCATCTTGTTGTAGATAATCATCACGAGCGTGGTCAATGGCCGGCTCTCCTCTAACTTACGTAAGAACTTACTCCCGCACGAAATCGCAATAAAATCATCCAACCATTCGACGTTATTTAGCCACCTAGCCTTGCTTTCGATTTTTTTTTCCCCAAGAAATTTAAAATAATAATCGCGTAATTCTGACCGCTGACTTCAGTGCGTGCGAGATAATGATTGGCAATCAAAAAGATTGAAAAAAGCGAAAAAATGATGTTAAGATGCAACGTATAAGAATATAAATATTATGAAATTAAATTAAAAAGCAATGCGTACAAAGCAATATATGTAAATAGGTAATAACTTGTAAGTTACGATAAGTCACATCGCCAACAGAAGCACTTATACAAAAGTTTACTTACATAGATAATAAACTATACTAAAAGAATTATGTTAATAATGAAAAAGCTCTTATGATTAAGAGTCGTGAGCGCGTGTCTAATCATCAGTAAGGTATGAAGGACGATAGAACGATGATAGAACGCGAGCGTCGATTTAACAGACATGTTAAATATTATAATCGAACAAAGAGCTTTCCTCTACAGTCGTTGATTTATTTACAGATAAATGGTCGATTACCGCCGCGGACCGGTCAACCGACCGAGCTCGATGCTTGACTTACGTAAATCTCTCGTTAGGAAACGGTACAAATAATTACTTTCAGATGAGAAACGCGCTCCGGCAATTTCCGGCAGTCGTTCCACGTGATTTACATGATTTCGCGATGTACTTGTTGCACCGGAGGAGAGAGGGAGAGAGAGAGAGAGAGAGAGAGAGAGAGAGAGAGAGAGAGAGAGAGAGAGAGAGAGAGAGAGAGAGAGAGACGAGACGACGACGA